GAAAAAGCTTTCCCCCAATAACGTTGTTATTTCCAATCAACGTCAACGGCAGCCAGTCATCTCATACCCTGACCTAAATAAAGAAAAAGCCAGGAAAAAGAAGAAGAATCTACAACACCAAAGTTTCCCATGCAGTCTTTCTACGCAGTTAAACGGCGCCAGACCTACTATCATGGTCACTGCTTCCTGGGCCTAGCCGCAAGCTGTCCATAATAGTTATCCCAGATGGATGAGGCCGTATTCCATAGGGGCCGTGGCACCGAAAATTTAACCTATGAGGGAGGTGCCGTATGGACATCCTAAGACCAACCAGACTATAGTCATGTCTAGTAGAGAGAGTGGTATAGTGTTGTATCTTAAACATGTTCCACTAAGCGAGTGGTGTCTCACAGGAGTCCGTGTTACTCGAGTGGTATTTCAAAGGTTTTCTCGACTTGTGATGCTTATGTTTGATAACCTATTGCAACGTAGCCACCTGTCGAGGCTGTAATGAACCCACGTGTTGTTGGCTTGGTGCTTTGATTTGTTCCAAAGGATTGAATCGTTAAGGTTGCTTCGCCGACCACGTGCACCACTTCGATGTCTCAGCTTCTTGGTTGGCCGAACCAAGTAACATGGATGTTGGTAGCGACGGCACAAAGCTCTTTATCTTGAGGCCAAAGCGCCCGCAGGGCTGAAGCGAAATAGAGCAAAGGAAAACCAAAAATGTAATTCCGCACCGGGGAGTCGAACCCCGGTCTCCGAGGAGCTTCCACCCCCTTGGGAGAAGATTGAAAGCTCGGTATGCTAGCCGTTACACCAGTGCGGATGAATTATAACTTCTACATTAGCTAGTGTATATTAACATTCTACTGGTACCAAATTTACATGCTGATCATAGAGTTACCTCCGCTGACACTTCTCCTACTTAAATATGGCTTTTGCAGTAATGTTTAGGTTTAGTCTAAGGTTCAAGACCCAATCTTTGTTTTCTATTTCCATAAACAGGTAAAGTACGGATAGGTCTGCGTCTATCAACTCTATTAAGTTTGGTCACACGCAAATGACTGGACTCATCAACTCTAGTGCTTTGCTTTTTCTTGTTTGTTGTTTTTCAGAGGCAGTTGAAGTACCTTAGTCACGGATTTGGATATGTTGAAGTATGAGTATTCATTTGAGTAATTGAGGATTCTAGTTTGGAGAGGTATAAATGATTGAAGCTATCGTACAATTCTTCTCCCAACTATCCAATGGCTACATACAATTTACACATCCGCAAGAGGTGTTTACACCCTGTATACTCCCTCGATACCTACAGTACGTTTAACTTCAAGATCTCACGCTGCAAATCTTGGAAGCTCCAATAGCACCTTCCTGCTCTGAACATCTATAGTTTCCCGATTTCTTGATAACTGTAAGCTGTTCCCCAAGGTCTACCTAGATATGCTCAGATCTTGAGAATCATGGTAGCCTTTGTGTCGGAAGTGTTGGGATGGTATTAATGTCCCGCATAGAAACAGTATATATATTTGACGTCTGCTCAAAGTAATTCATCATGAGCATAGTTACACTTGAGGATCCAAACACCGATTTGGAGCTGAATATGTCCATGTCTGACCTTCTAGGGGATCCCGGCGAATGGAGGTTAGTTTGGTCCGATTCTTCTTTCGAGTTCCAAGAGAGTGAAAATATGGCAAAATCACCTACAGTAAACTCGACAGAAGGAGGTCCGGCGGCCCATACCGGTAAATACGATGGGCTCCCACTTGCAGATATCACTGCCAGTTCTATTCCCTATACTAGTGAATACTATCAGTCCACGGGAGCTATTGCTGTGTCTACCAGCGAAGCCAGGGGTGAGCCTTTAACTTCTAAACAGCACCCTGAAACTCAGAGCCCGAATCACAAAAAATCTCGTCAGACGTTGGGCTCAGCAGACCACCTGCTCCCCCCTCCACAGTCAACCTCAAGGGCTCCCTCAAAGGTTCTTGGGAAGAGAAAAGACAGGGAGCTACCGAAAACCACAAAGCAAAAGAAGTTCAGGGGTGCGGTCCGCGGAAGGGATTACCCGTTGCACGAGAGCGACTATGCTTATGTGGATGCACCTTCACAGAATATGGACAATGGGTACTGGAAACGTATGGCTCTGCGGTATGAGGAGAACGTCTTTAAGGCACTGAAGAAGTGGCAGGAGGAAGGAAATACCCTGCCTCCAGGGGCTTCCCTTCAAGCGCGAGCTGAAGTGCCCGATCCATCGCACAAAGAAGCTAGCCTTGACTTCTGGTACGGTGAATATATACGGGTTATACGGGTTCTTCAACAGCTCAAAGTTGATGTTGAACTGGAGAAGCGTCGGAAACGATCCCCAACTCCAACCTTCAGTCCACAACAGAACTTGCTACAGACTCCTTCTTGCCAGTCCCAGTGCCTACAGGATATGCCGCAAGGTCTCGGTCAGCATTTTATGGGTCCTACACATTACAATGCACAGGGAACATGGCTATATCCTGCTTCGTTCCAAGATGGCACTGGATATCCACTTTGCGACCAAGAGATTAAAACGCCAGTTTCGTCTAACTATTTCTCTCAGCCTGTCATGGGTCAATATCGACAACAGCAATAGTATTGCCTCCTTATGGCCCAGTGGCTGTACAGGCTTCAGTCATAAAAAAGGCCCTGGGCAAAACCATCGGTATATATGCACAGATTCAACCGCGCTTATCGTTCAACAAAGGTTTTGGAGCAAATTTGGTAGTTAATAATGATGTCTATCGATAAGACCTGAGGTTTAATTTCAATATAGGAGACACAGCGATATCATTGAGCAACGGGGGGGGTTGGTATTGGGTGCATCAGTGAGGAAGCGCTTATTAACGAAGGCTTGATCTGGTGCATTGAAATGTGGTACGCACAACGAAATGCAAAGTTGTTTTGGACAGGCCAATGATAGACTGAAATCGAATGGCTTATGTACATTTGCAATAACATTGCCTTTTCTAAAAGAACTATTAGGGCACATCTCATCGTGCCTAGAGATTTTATACTAAGACCTCATTTTTTTATATGATGCTGTAATTGGGATATAATATCGCCTACCGCCGTTAGATACTGGAGGCCGGGAAGGCATATCAACAGGGCGTAATGATGTACATTTAGTGTGTGGTGTTCTCTTCTAATTGAACTCTGTGTCTCGAACACCACTATTATTCACCTCCCTGGAAGCGATCGATAGAATCTATAGTCTCGATCCGCCATCAGCCAATAAAAGCCGTGTTCATAATTACCCGATCTGGGCTATCACCCAAAGAACGCACAATCACTGGGGTATTATAGGCACCCAGGCCATAACCAGCTTCACTGTTAGTTTATTCATATGCAACAAAGCTTTGTAACGAAATACGAACTGATCGTTTATGATTATCTGTGTCAGTTCTGCTGAACTCCAGGATCATCTATTCTAGCCAAGATTATTTTGTGAGTCCTCCTTGGAAGGAGACCAACGGAGTTGTTTCACAATTAGTGAGGGGGCGGGGGGGGGGGGGGGGGGGGTCCCAACGTATCATCGATTCTGCATTGTATGGTATCCAAACGATCTATGAGGCAAGGCACGTAAATCCTTTATTCAGTGAATTTATTCCCAGGATCTATGAGTATAAGATGCACTGTCATCGAAAATACCCTTGCTGATCCGATGGTGGGTAGTGGGCGGGCATTTACCTTCTATGATTGATAGCAGGCTCATACCTCTGCTACGCAAGGCACTCCAAGGAACGAATTTCTCCGAAGTCGCTCCGCAAGCTCGAAGCAGCGAGTCAATTGATACGAACAAGAGATGGAAGTCCTGCCAGAACATGCTCGACGTTCAGATATGTAGGGTACAGAGTTTCACCCTAGAGAGTAGTGGACAGGAAAGTTTGGTCTAAAAAGCCGTTGCCCCAAATGGATTACCATCCTAGGAGGGAGGATTTGGAGCGGAAGTCAAAGCTGAAAAAGTCCAGTATTTTGATTAATAATGGAAAGTGATATTACCGCTCCTTGGGATATCAAAGCTATTTCTGGACAAATATCACCATAATTGACGAGGAATAATCCCGAGATATCGAGTAATACCTCCAGGCTTTCGGCCTAGCGCTCCGTCTGCTCAACGCCCTGGCCATCCTTGTGCTGTGAAGGATGAAGGATCTGATACATGAAGCGCAAAAACGGAGCTTTACTAGTGGACTAGGGCTCCCTCATTCGATCAATTAGAACTAAATAATTCACCTCCTGCTATTATATTGTACGCATATCCTTCCGCTTTGCGTCAAAAGGTCTCGAACGGTAGGTAGGTTCAACTGTACTAATGTTATGCTACCACGACGTAGGAATGTTTCGAATCGCAATATTTAGGGACAGAGGGTTGAAACGGGCATTTATCTCAAGTATAGCTGGTTTGATGTAAACAGGTTAAGTTTTATTTCTTGCAATTTAGTACAGATCCGAATTAAGTACCCGCAAGAAAACAGACAGATCTAGATTCTCTTGAGATATAATACCGTAAAAACTCTCGGATAAGGAAGTAACAATGTTTAAGAAAGTAACCCTGAATAAGACGCTGTGAAGAGCCATGGTGGATTTGCTTGGGGGTTGTAACGTGAATAAGAAAGGTATTGCTAAGGGTATAATGTTCTAGCACAAACGCATATAGCCTTCTAATGTTTGTAGACAACATCCCCACTACATACCCACCCACGACCCATGCTTCCGCCTCACATTCAGTTGGGTGAAGAGATCGTTTGAAAGGGTGGCCGGCATGGTGGAGATTATAATCAACTGTTGTAGGAAAGAATGTGTAGCTCTAATGGAATACCATGCATCAAATAATTGTGATTAAGAAAGTACCTATGACTAAGAAAGTAACCGTGAATAAGACGTGGAGATAGCTTTTGGCAAAAGTAAAAAAGACTGCAGTCTTGTCCGAGAGTTTTTACGGTATTAAGCCAAAATAAGATGATGGGCCATGCTCTCGCAAAAAAGAGTAACGACGTCGACAAGACTCGAACTTGCGCACGCAGAACGTAAGTGATAATCAAATGTAAACATTCTAATCACTCCCCTTAACCACTCGGGCACGACGTCTTTAGTGTAACATATAGTCTAAGTGATGTTATGCAGATAATTGTTTTACATTTCAAAAGTTACCCTGAACAGCACCCCCAATCAAGATCGGGTAACTTAATTTCGCATTATAGCTAAGCAAATACATTAATTTCGCAAACCAAGTGCAAAAAGTTCTAATACTAGCTTCCCCGACATGGAAATATCACACAACCGTCGAAATTACCATTTACAGACTATATTCATTTTTCTTATTAGCTACTAATTCTCCTAAGAAATCTGGGACTAGTTGAGCAAAGTACACCTGTGGTCGTAGAGGATTGGCAATTATAAGCCAGTTGGCCTTCAGGTCCGGCCGGATAAGCGAGCATTTTGACGTTGATCTCGGACGGGAGTAGAGAAGAAAAGAGAAGGGGAATTATAAAGAGGTTCTCTTTAACTCGTCGATAGTCTGGTTAACTTACTGGGTAAGTGCGTACTCTAGACTAGTTAGTTGAAGTAGCAACGTACAACCTCTCACCACCGGACTACAACCCCTCTAGGACTAAGACAACGTACCTCTCATGACGGCAAATACCTCTCATGACGGCAAAAACCACAAGGAACACAAGTTAACCAGACACACGCCGAGACATGTCTCGTGACAGAAATCAGCAAATGATAAAGTGATAACTAACGGTCCTACCAGTCAGATTACTGGTCCTACTTATCCTGGTATCGATGCTATTAGTTGAAAAGGCTAGACTAGACTCTCCTAGTCTAGCTGCGGTTATGAGACTAACTCGCTACCTATCTCTGTTGTTGAGCATCAATGAGATCTGAAATAGATAGCTTTGGCCACCATGGTGAGGGGGCTTTTCCGAACTAGAGGGAGGTAACAAGCACCCTGCAGTTTATTGAGATGAAATTCTATTGATGGGTGAAGTTCGGTAAAGCCCATGTTTATCGGTTGCACTTGATTCTTCACTATATTTCCCGACCTTTTTTGATTATATGTACCGCCAACAGAGCTACGCATCATATATCCATATTCCTCGCAACCCACGTGACCCTGTATTCAAAGTTTAACAAAAGGCCTCAACATGAGAATTTAGGTTTTATTCTGGTACATTATATGGGGGCTTCTCAGGTATAAGTAAAAGCCCCTACGGGTTTAAGGGTTTCTCTGGTATTTGATTATCTAGCTGAACTTTTGTGTAGGCGATTTTGGCTCTATTTTCTATTTTATGCACCACCTAATCATAAATATTTTAGTTCACTTGATTGAAGTTTGAAAGTACCTATTTTCCTTCAAAGGACATTGGCTAGATTATCTCCACTGTTGTTGATGAACACCCCAATAATTCACAACCGCACTGGTTTTGAATTCGAAGAAACAACTGATTTCGCTCAATATTCCCGACTTTGGGGGGATCATTAAAAACCCTACCAAACCGCCTTCAAGGAGAAAGAACACCAAGTCCCCCTGATCCCCTCCTGGCACTGTCCTCCCCTCCCTACCGAGCTGTACTCTTGTTCCAATGAGCAACCGCCTCCAATGTTTCTTTACTCCTACCAACTTCCAAATAACCCTCTCTAGCCAGATTGAGTTTTAAAGTATGCAAGACAAAATAACAGGGATGAACATGAAAACAGAACTGGGACCGCATATGAGTAATGAGTATTTAATAAATAAATAAAAACATGAAAACAGAAAGAAATACAGATAATGAATCACAAAACCCAGGACCACTAGGTATAACAAGGCAGTACTATTTCCATAGAAGCCCCTCCTAGTCATCCCAAACTTGATGCCACACCAAGAACCACTCCCACTCACGTTGCTACCTTAGACCCGTCCGGAGGCAGTTCTATTTTGGGAGAAGTTTGAGGAATCCAAAATCCAAGTCTCTTGAAGGTGTCTTCCACCACTCCCCTACACCTTTGTGAAATCGCCTCCAGTAGTTGGGCAGGCGTGTCGCCAGAAAACTTGCTGACAACCATCCACTCCTCGAGCAAATTTGCGACGAGGGGCTCACGTTGTCTTATAATTTTCATGAGTTCTACCAGTGTTCCGGTGAATGCGACGGGCGGTGGTTGTACGCAACAGCTCCCGTGGTGACTACTTCGATTTGAAGCAGTCGACGTGGTTGTGGACGTCGTTCTCGATGTTTGCCCGGAGCTCCGCGGAGCGGAAGCTGCGGACTTGAAAACAGTAGAGGAATTGGGTGTTGGTGTCGTGAAGGTAGAGGGTATGGGAGTTGGCAGGAGCAGAGGTTGAAGAGGTGGCGTGGCCTTAGGCGATCTGTGGTCGGAATTTGTGGTCGAGGGGGTTATAGTGGGTCTGGAGGGGGCAGAGAGCGTGGGTGACCGTAATACAGGGCTTGGGGAGTAACATGTCGGCAGCTGCAGTGGCGGGAGTTGTGCTGCTTGCCGTGGGTAAGGTCGATGACCTAACTTCGTCGGCGCAGATGCTGCGACGTGTGTAGGCTTAGTTGTACAATGGGATGAACTTGCCACTGCGACTAAATCTTTGTCATTGCCCTCCGTCTGTTGTCGACCCTCTCCCTGAACTTTTCTTTTTTTTGTAAATTCAGTACTCGCATCTGAACTATGTAGCTCATGGCTAGGGACCGCATCCCCGGGGGCCCCCTCTGCCTGATCTAAGTAGCTGATATCTCGGTCGAAACTCCACGGCACGGTAGGTAACGGCGGGGTTCCCCGGAACACAACATGAGGCTTGACACAGCCCAGCGGTGACGGCCTGGACCTAACATATGCCAAAATCTCCGGGGTGACTGGCGGGGTAGGAATTTTATTCTGGGTAAGTACCTTCACAGTCTCACCAGAATTGGTGCTTCGCCTTTTTGGTGGTTGGGCACCCACACCCTGAGAAGTAACACACTCCCTTGGCCGCTTTGCTTGGGTGAACTCTGATTTTTGGTCAAGCGCATTATAAGTGGTCAAGGGGTCTGGGCCAGTGAAAGGCTCCTGGCTGGGTTCACTTTCCTTAGTTTCAAAGCATACCTTTTCTATCAACGCCGTAATATACTGGTCCAAGAGGTCCTCGAGACACATTTTTACGTCACTGTTATTCTCAACACACCCTAGCGGGGATCTGGAGGTCCCTGTAGTGGCAGTTGATGGTTGTTCAATGTCCTTGGGCTTCGTTCTTGAGAAATCGTCTTGAGACATGTATTTGATGGACTAGTACGAATTAGTATTGGATCATATATGATTAGAGAAGGTTTTTTTTTTTCTTTTATTTTTTTTTAACTCATTACTACGGCATTGGGCTGTCAGAGGGATTAAGAACTTACTGGCATGTTAGCTGGGTGATGCATGGACGAGTTGGCCGCGTTGGAGTGATATTGATAATCTTGGGCCGGAACCTCAGCTGGATAGTCTTGGGCCGGAACCTCAGCTGGATAGTCTTGGGCCGGAACCTCAGCTGGATAGTCTTGGGCCGGAACCTCAGCTGGGACTCGGACTGGGGTAGGTGTCATCGGGTGCATTATATGCATACCCATTTGAGTTCGGGTGGCTTCCGCCGAGGCTTGGGCTGGGAGAGGTGCCATTGGGAGCACCCTCATATGCCACTGAGCGCCTTGTGCTGGAACTCTAGCTGGGGTAGATTCCATGAGGTACATACCCACCTGAGATCGAGTGGCCTCTGCCGGTGCTTGGGCGGGGATACATGCCATTGGGTATATACCCATATGCACTTGGCTGGCTTGTGTCGGAACTTGGGCTGGGGTAGCTGCCATGGGGTACATACCCACCTGAGCTCGAGTGGCTGTTGCTGAGGCTTGGGCTGGGATAGGTGCCATTGGGTACATACCCATATTCACTTGACTGACTTGTGACGGAACTTGGGCTGCCATGGGGTACATACCCATCTGAGCTCGAGTGGCCGCTACTGAGGCTTGGGCTGGGATAGGTGCCATTGGGTACATACCCATATTCACTTGACTGACTTGTGACGGAACTTGGGCTGCCATGGGGTACATACCCATCTGAGCTCGAGCGGCCGCTGCTGAGGCTTGGGCTGGGATAGGTGCCATTGGGTACATACCCATATGCACTTGACTCGCATGTGTCGGAACTTGGGCTGGGATAGGTCTCATGGGATACATACCCATCTGAGCTCGAGCGTCCGCTGCTGAGGCTTGGGCTGGGATAGGTGCCATTGGGTACATACCCATATGCACTTGACTCGCTTGTGTCGGAACTTGGGCTGGGATAGGTCCCATGGGATACATACCCATCTGAGCTCGAGCGGCCGCTGCTGAGGCTGGGGCTGGGATAGGTGCCATTGGGTACATACCCGTATGCACTTGACTCGCTTGTGTCGGAACTTGGGCTGGGATAGGTCCCATAGGATACATACCCATCTGAGTTCCAATGGTTTGTGCTGGAATCTGCCCAGAAGTAGGTTCCATTGGGTACCTACCCATCTGAGTTGCTCGTGCATAAGGCATGTATATAGCGGTCTAAAAAAGTTAGATAAAGGCATTGCCAACGGAGATAAGGAATACGTACAAATGGCTGGTTTGCTAACACTTGATTATGGGATGTTGGCGATATATGAAAAGGAACAAAAGAGCTGATGAGGATATCTATGAAATAAACGAGTGGATTGGAAGAAGAAAGGATGTATATGTGGAATTGGTGAAGAGTAGAGATCTGGTGGGTTTATGGCAATTTATACGGGACAAGCCCTATGCTTTGTTTTGAAATGTTTCTTAAATACACATGCGCGTGCAACTGAAGTCTATATCTTATATCTTCAAGAAAAGGGAATATCTCACTAAGTTTGCGAGGAGGGAAAAACACGAACAGTTAGCTTTGGTGATAAAAGAGTCACGAGTAAGATGAGAACCTTCCTGTGGCATGCGGCCTGTGTTGGCCATGAGATGTGTTTGTTTGTACTCACGATATTCCTTCACAATCACGGACGCCATTTTCCAGCTAACCAACCTGTCCTTCGTATCCAATGCACGACTCTAGGTAAAGCTGTCACAAGCGATCTACACCCGTCA